TACACTTTTCGTATACCAATTATGTATACGCTCGTTCGTTCGTTTCGTCTGGCAATTTATGTATACGCTCTATTACTGTTATTAAAGACCACACTAACATCCACTGTCCCCTATTTTGTTTACAACAAATTGTCGTATTTGAACGTTGAGTATTGAAACTGAACACTTTTTACAAAACTTTATCGCGATCATATATATCTCCTACTACTACCTAAAATCTGACTTGATTCCTTGAGAAATCCTCTTCCACCAAACGCAGAACCGTGCACCAGCCTCGCCCGATCAATTTTCAGCCCGAAAACCGTACACGCAAGGGTATTTCCATATCCTTGTCAAAGTCGCACAACCGACTGCTATAACAGGGGTCACCAGAAACATCGGAACGGATTAAAACTTGGAGCTAGCCAGTCGCACGAAAGCCATCTGCTCGCCGTGAAAAGAGTACGACCTTAGGGGGTCCTAGCTGGCTCGCCCGAAAAGAGGATTCGGAAACGATCGAACGTTAACTTCCGGACGATTTGTCAGAGCTGCGGAGGCGGCTGGCCCTCGCACACGCCGCGATAAATCCCGGATTTTCATAAGTTTCCCACTCCGAAAGCTGGATCCGACCATGGGCAAGCCTAGGGAAGCTTTCGCCAGGCCCCTCCGTCCTTTCTTGGGTCGTCTCGCATTCTAAGCGTTCCGAGGCCGATCGATCCGAGACATATACCGTCGCCCGTACGTATTTCTTTCCGTTCGCGCTAATGCCCGCGGAAAATCGGCCGGCTGGAAAAGAAGGCGATGGAGAGAGAAAGGCTCGCTAGGATTTATCGAAGTTGCGGCTTGTTACCCAGCAGAAAGGGGGGGGGGAGGAGAGGGGCTTTACACTTCGGGTGCCCCCTCGAGTGCCGCGATAAAGGTGCCGGCAATTGATTAAGAGGGTCGTTTGTGCCGAGGAAATGCTACTTCAAACGCGACCCCGATCCAAACCGCTTTTCATGGCCTCCTCTATCCCAGGCCGCTTTGATTCTTTTGTGCGCCGATCCGCGTCAAAACTTCCGCGGTAATCTGGCCCGGCTCGCGTATAAGGAGGCTAGTCCCGGCAGGTATGGTTTTAGCATTTTATACCGGTAATATGCGGTCGTTCGCGGAATACCACCTGCTTCTGACGATCTCCTAGTTTCTTCCGAGTGTGTGCTTCCGTTCAATAACCTGTCCCGTTACTTTGGCCGAATGGAATCGCGGTACGTGTAATTAGAAAGTCTTTTTTGAATTGATGGATTCGCTGGAAAAGGGGCACATGCAATAATACTGTAAATTTACACGGCAATTACTTTTAGGAAAAATAATTTTCTCAGGAAATTCGGTATTAATTGGTAGTATTTTACTGGGTAATTGAAAGTAGATCGTATATGTTGATGAAGAAATTCATATTATATGACATGTCTTTTAACAATTTAAAAATGATTCTCTTTCACATCCCAAATCCACTGAGCTCCTCAATTGTGAATTAATCTTTTGTCGAGGCTGACTTGTGATTCAGTTTTACTGTAGTGGTCGAATGTTTGTGGGATGGAGATTGTAGCCAGTGACGGATGTGTACCGGGTGACATTTTCACGTGAGTGAGCTTAATCGTTGTTCAGCCGTAACGAGAATGGAGGAATGAGTGTAGATGTGATTTAAGGTGTAACAAGTGGATTATGAGAGTTATCAGTATGAACAAATGCTTGCAAGAAAACAATGCTAAAATGTATATTTCCAATGCTCGAAGCTAGATCTCGATAATGTGTCTGTGTAAGACAGTAGCCTTTAATACTTTGGTCTGCTTGAGACTGAGAAATAAATTCCAATCTGTCGGATTGAGTACAATATTCGAGTGCTATGTCTGTTTCAGTAGCGAGGCTCCTTACTGTAGCCTAAATTCTATTTGCTGTGGACCTCCTGACTTCTGAATCATCGATGATTGTTCGAAGGATCCTCGACACTGAGTGTTCAGACGTCATCCCCAGTACTGGGCGTTTAACTGGTTCCACGGGGGACACTCCCAGTGGTGGGGATGACGTCTGAACACTTAGTGTCGTGGAGCCTTGAAACACTCATCGATGATTTACTGTAATGTCTGTTATCGTGGTAGCATGAAGGTTGTTAGCCAGGTAAGGCTTATGCTCTAAACCAGTGTTTCCCAACCTTTTTTGTGCTATGCCTCACCTAAGCCTTTCTAAAATTCTTATGCCCCCCCCCCTAACATATACATAATTTTTAATATTCAAAAATTGAAATGTTCACTAAAGAATTCACTAAGATGTAAACTAATTTAAGTCTCCCACTGTTACTGCGCATATAGGTGTTTTAAATTTCGTTCAGAGTTATTGGCGTCTATAGACATAAAATCTCTTAGACTTTTGCTATCAAACGGGCTATATGAGTGATAGATTGATCCGGTTGGGAGCAATGTTAGCCAGGAGAGGCTAATAAGGTCTAAGCTCGTGAAAACGATAGTTAACCCTCGGTACAGCGCACCAAACGATCGGCTTATCGGCGAAAAATGCATGGCATAGAAATATTCGCGATAATGCGCGGAGGGAATCAGCGTATTTCAGTAAAATAATTCTGTATTAGGCCACACAAGCGACCGGCTAATCTAGCCAGAGCCACGTGTGCATACTTCGGAAACGAGACAATTAATTGCGATCCCAAAAATACGAGGGGGGCGATCCCCATTATGATAAACTCGTGGGGGTAAGTTTCGCGGAGGCTGCGACCCCGGAGGGTGAAATTTATGCACCGCTTGAGCCAATTATTTATCGCCGTCGCGGCTTCGTGACCTAGGAATCGTCAACCATGTAACTTGCTTCCATTTATCTCGATGGATTAAGGAAGATCCTTGTTTTTTTCGGAATATATGTATCTATGGATTTCTGAATTATTGATATTATTAATCTTTCGTGTGCAGAGTACTACGTATGAAATATGCAGCGTTATTATGTGGAAATATTAATTAGCTGTACAGCGAATAATTGAATTGTAACTTTCATTAAAATTCAAAATTATATAAATATTTTCGAATTTACGGAATTTATGCGCTGACGAATATTTTCTGTTACACATTTTGCTAGATGCATATTCGCGCCAAAAGAACACAAAAAGTTAAAGTCGAAGTTAGATTTCAAGGAATGTGATTTTTTGTACAGAATACAAAGAAAAAAGTAAATTTATTGTGTCGAACGTATTTTAATACTGATCGACATTGCGCGTATTTTATTTTGATACTTGCGGAATAAATTTACGAATTCTGAGCCGACTTTAGAAACACGATATAATGTTATTCGAATCGTTGTTACCGTTTATTATTCTGATGTGAAATGTCTGAAAAGCTATGTACATGAAAATTTACGAGAATTTCAACCAGGATGATAATTCCGCTGATAAACGTAACGCAGTCCATATCTAAAGGGTTTAAGTGGGAGTTTAAATGGGCTTAGAGCTCGTCGAAGCGAGTTTCATCCACGATATGAAAATTTTAATGTTGCAGCCATCCATTACGTGCGTTTCGAATTTCGAAACTGTTCGTACTGAGTAGGTTTTAATGATGAAAAATGAATCGGGTGATAGTTCGTTTTGTGGTTAAGAATCATTGGGATTAAGATAGCTAATTAATATTTATATTTAACAATTTTTATGTTGTTTAGTAGTAGAGTACGGGTTTAATGCATTTATGATTCGTGTCAATATGTGAAACACAGTGTCATGTACACTTCGTTAATGACTAATAAAATTCCTACGTCCTTGTAAATTCAATTATCCCCTTTATCGATGAAATGAAATTAGATGTAATTTGTATCCTTCACAAATAGCTATGGTTACAATAATTTCAATCTAAACCAAATTAATTTGTATTGTTCCTTTTTAATTATTAGTACATCAATTGTCATCAACTGTGCAATAAACTGTTGCACTACCTATTGTTATTTCATTTACCTATATGTAATTATTGACAAATTCTAACGTATGTAAACTGTTGATGTCAAATTAATTAATGTACGTTCTAGTATGACAAAGACTATAATTGAACAACAAACTCTGGCTTCGTATCAAATTTCCTCGAACAATATATGACAATTAATTACAGTTTCATATAATTACAGTCCATCCCCCATCTATTAAAAAGACTTCTTTCGCAAATATTTAAAGTAACAGGAGATGCAGCATTGCTTAATACTGTGTAATCCACAAGCACTCGCAGCCTAACACGAAGACCCAATTCATCCCTTGTTCTAGGATTTTTTTACAACTGCACTCTCAAGAATTACTTCATCGTTAATAATTTCCCAGATAAACAAGGAATTCTATTCTTATGGCAAGTACAGCATTTACTCTAAATCTTAAATATTAATATCAACGAAACAGTATATCACTTCCATTTAAAGAAAACGAATGACATGAATGTTTATTGAATACCGTTTGAAATCTCGTGTGTAACTCGACGTTATAAGTCAAGGGGTTCAAAACCCGACTTAAATTCAAGTCTGTATCCAAGATGTAACTTCTTTCTAACCGTTACTTCTTTCATAATTATTTAAATCAAGAGTAGACGCAACATGATTTCATAAGTACTGAGAATCCCACGAACACCCACAGCCTAACACAAATACCCAATTAAACTTAACCCTTTAATGCCTGAATTATGTTATCGTTATACTTTTACCGCAATTTGTATTCCAGACACTAGAAAACCGTTCAAATATGTTTACTTTTACTTTTTGTATTTTTTAAAATTTAAATAGCTTCAATATAGTATCTCGGAGAGGACTTCGAAGTGGTAAATACTTATAACTCCTAGCCGGCTTCTAAGCACATTGATTCATGGCAGAATTTTATCGCAAGATAAATGATACCGACAGAAAATAAAGGGTTAAATTGACAACACCCAAAATGTAATATGTTTCTCAAAGTTAGTTCAATTGTAATTCTATGGTTGACTACGAAGGAAAAATTAAAAGGTCTGCATAGATTCACTCACCTGTGCCAGCCGCTCCTAGCCTAAGAACAGCATCACCTTGAAGGGAGATGGAGAGGGTCGCGGTGTCCTCTAGCCGTGCGAGAACTTCTTCGGGGATGGCCTCGGATTCGCCACCACCGCCCTGACCACCTCCACCCCCGGGACTCGTCGACGCCGAGTACATGAACACAGATCCGTACCCATGTAATGACTGCAACGGCAGCCTGACGCCGCGCACTTCCCCGACCGGACCCTGAAAAACGAGGGAATCGTGTTAAGAATAAGATACCCTGAAACATTTCTTCCGACCATAGATCAATTAACTTCGATACTTTAACACGGATGGGAGTTGTTTTCTCGGATGACCGTACGGGCATCCGTTAATACACTTAGGTCCGCTACAATCTCGAAAAAGAACAACTCTTACAATTACCTACAATATTTAAGACTTTTGTAGAACCTTCATTTTATACTTCAGTTACAACTAGACTACAGATGTTAAGCATTTGTTATATATTTCATATGCAGTAAATCCTCGATGAGTGTTCGAAGGCTCCTCGATATTATACATTAAATATTTCATAAACTAACGGCCACATGAGGCTGAAACAAATATCATTGGCTTCAGAATTCCAAGCTCTATCACTGTTACAAACCTCATTAAAAAGTCAACTTTACACCTGGAAACTTTCCTTGTTAATGTGGAAGGAGCCTTCGAACACTCACCGAGGATTTACTGTATGGCACACGATAAAAATTTCATAGAGAATATAATAAAAATCATAGAAATTTAAAATGTTTCCGGAATTATGGAATTAACAGAAACGATTTCCTGATAATAGTTATTCTTTCAGAAAATATTCACGACTATATGATGACTGTATCTATAACACGTAACTGTTATTTGGAAAAAGTTTCCCTTTTGCACATAATTCCAGAGATATTCAAAAAACTAAATTGTTAATACGTCCTGTACAGACCGGCCATAATGTGTCAATACTGTTCGTCTAAACCGATCGAATTTAATTTATTAAATGAAACGCCGTGAGATAATAGTATAAACTGTTAGTTTTCCCTCGAACGGCCACCATATTCTCAAGAGAGAAAACGTGAAACGTTCTTTCCCATCGCCAGACACGCCGCCCCCGGGTTTCCATTTCTCGCTCCGCACTGCATATCAGAATCGAACGTTCTGTTACGAGCAGAAATATTTTGCCGATTTCGCCGTCTATGCAAATTTCCATTCGCCCGAACGTCAATATTTGCTGAATCGCAGTCGAAAAAGGATTCCGATGTACCGGCACTCGATTCACCGTCAAACGCATCGGCCATGATGGCTTCCCTAAAAACGACAGTGCTCCGCGTTTAAATAAAGAGCCTTGCGTTCCCTTCGACGGTCGGATGGAAAAGACGATGGAAAATATTCGTTAAACATCCAACGAATGTATTGATTTATCATTTCATGAGTGAAGCAAATTTTAATATATTTAATTGATGAGTGGATCCCAATTTATTTTTTTTTAAACTGTCCATTTTGCAAGTAGTACAATAAAATTAACTGAAAAATTATTTCCAGTAGTAAATTGCGTTTGTTAATTCCCGTGTTTCCTACTTCCATTACAAATAAAGGCAAAACTTAATTCCTCAATTACAATAAGATCCATTAGAAAAATAACAAACAGTCTTCCATTGCTTTCGATTCTACGTTAACACGAAATCTACTACGATCGGTCAAATGACCAGTTTGCCAATCAAATTCCTGCTTTTTTGAAGGGTTCGGAAGGTCCATTACTAAAATCCAGAAAATTCAAATATTCGATAATAGAAACGGAGTTGTAACATCACCCGAATAAATATTCGCAATTCTATTATCATCTGCAAAATTAATGCGTCATAAAGCAGGCTGAAACGACGATGCCGTGGGAATGACAGTAGAAGTCGACCATAACACTGAATCCATATTACGTCCTCGGAGCATGATTCAGCATTCGCTTCGACTAAAAGTCCCGAGCAAAACCCAGTGGAGAAGCCTGGGTACCGATTATTTACGAGGCTCGAAATTCGGGTAAAAGTCGAACCCCGTTCCCATTTCGCCGGAATGATGCCTGGAGACGGGGCTGATTCTCCTTCGGTTCACTGTGATTCGGTGACGACAACGGCTGTCGACCAAATGTTAGACCATTTGAAGAGGAGATTAAACAGGGAAATAAATATATATAATATGTGAAAAGAAGATTTGTTCGAAAGCAATAGCCTTTGTGACTGGGCTGGAAAATATAAAATTAGGGAAATTATTTCCTAAAGGTCTTTCATGCGTAAGAGATTTTAATTGTGGATGTTTTACGAACAGTGTTGACGGTAGTTTGAAAAGTGCACGAACCCCGTGTCGAGTGGGTATTGTCTGAAATGCACGGTGCACGGGCTGACAAGAAGATGCCAGCAGGACGTCTCTGCCGGAGGACAAACAACCGGAAATGTGCCCATAACAATGCGGATACGTAGCAGGAACGCCGCGGCCTCTGTACGTCCGTTTCCGGCGCAACGGGAATATCGATACAGCACGTACAGATTTCCTGAGCTGTAACGTAAATACGGCGCGGTAGATCCGTGTACCGTGTCCAAAATCGATTCCGCGTGTTTGCTAAATTACCGGAGCTTCGAAAAATGCCGACATCAGGTTGTATATTGATTTCATATTTCGATCCGGTGGACTGTAGATAGCGGAGGCTTGGAGGATAACCTCGAGCGTTTCCGTGGTGATCGTGAGGAGCTGGGAGGTTTGATAATGTCGAGAGAAGATTGATAGATTTGACACGTATATTTCGTCTGTTACGAGGTTGATGGGACATGGATATCTGTTTGAACGTGTTAAGATTGCTCCAGTTCTTGGTATAATTACACCGGTCAACAAAATTTAACTTTCTGTTTGTCTTCGAACATCCTATTGCTGATTCTTATAGATTCTTCTGGTCTTTCAGTTTTTTGACATCACCTTTAGTTTCCGAGAAATTTGAGAGATTTGATTTTGTATAAAATGCAAATTTTCAACATTGAATATTTTCTGTGTTCAAACATTAATAGTTATTCAATTGATAGTTGCGTTGAATTATTCTGTAAATTCTCCCGAATAAAATGGTATACGTTGTTATCGCATTATCAACATTTAAACATGTTTGAACAACGATCAAAGGGAAAAGGACACCTGAAATGTATCAATTTTTACAGATACTTTTCAATTTATTTCAAAAAGTAAGGGTGCACGACATGATCTGACTGACAATGAGTCAGAAGATACAGTAAACATTTTTCTTCCGGAAAGCATTAATAGAAATGGTAAGACATGTTTTTTGTTCAATACAGGAGCGAAATAGTTTAACAAAACCTGCAACGCTGGCAGTGGTACTCAAAGGCGCCAAGCATATTGACCAGTGTTATGAAATACGTACACTTATTTGACACGTTGACTGTCACAATATTTTTGGGAAAGTGGTCACTGACACCATGATCACATTTCATTTTTGTATCAAGACGCCAACTGCATTGTCAATACATACATTTACTACTATTTAACTCGTAACATGACTTTTAATGAAAGTAGACAGCCATTTACAAGTATACTTGTAGTAGGCCTTTGTGGTAAACTTTGAATTTCGAGTGATCTCGTAGTTGCCTGGCAACGTGTTATCCAAGTTTCTAGAGTGATGATTAGACTGCAGTTCTTTAGGAAGATCCAGATTTTTAGAGACTGATTTCATACAATAGGATTTACATAGAAACTTATTCCTTCCATTTCGGACTGTATTCGGCTCGATGTTGAAAATCATTACTTTACTGCGCTTTACAAAATTCGTATATACTAGTGCATGAAATTTGCAATTTCGTGATAAAGATTAGAGCGTTGAGAATTTAAATGGATTGCCCTACATTCTGATCGATATATGCTGAATTATAGAGAATCTTAATACCGCAGATATAAATGATAATCGGCTACTCTATCCCTTAACAAAGCTGATCACTTGTTTACAAAGAAGAATCAGAAATAGAATATCACGATTAAATTTCGTATGTTTACAAAAAAAATTTCTAGTTGTTATTGTATAATCATATTGTACTAGTGACACAACACATGGCGTAATTGCTTAAAAACATTGTAAAAATAGAATATTACATCGAAGATATTCTTCATACAAAGTAATATTTTTACTAGTCAAAATGGTTAGTGATGAATCATCCATCATTTTCGAATACTGGTACAAACGAATCCACGAATATTGTCATCTTTGTTCTCTGTTATCGTTGAATGAAGAATCCGATAGAGAATCACAATTTCCTACCGTAGATAGAACTAATTCACAACGCAAAAAAATGTGATATTCAAAAGGTTAACAATTTTCATGATATTTAAAGGGTTAACAGTTTCCATGATATTCAAAGGGTTAGCAGTTCTGGTGACATTCACCAAACCACATTTCCCAGCGAATTCCAAGAGCTGTTTCCACCTGCCGAACCAGACCACTTGCCAACAAAACAAAAAAAGTATACACAGTGTAATATTCTTCGTTGCACCACCCCTCGTGTCAAACATCACTAAAATTGTCGATCGACACTTCAGGCCTGATGAGAGATCTATTTACTTTGCCTCTGAACCAGGCAAGAATCACGCCAATACATTATCTACACACTTGTCACTACACCTATACCCACGTTCAATTACCCACAGTCAAGGCACAAATCGAATCGACACGCCATTCGACACGGCCACGCCAGTTCATGTTGGACCAGGTGAAAACGGTTCCCGATGGAAATCGACGGACAGTAGAACGAGCGATCCAGGGAAGGGCCTGTGTGTCCCCATTGTTAGCGTTCGTCGTTCGGCCAGCGCAGTCATTAAAGCGACTATTACGGTAATACAGCCTGGAAATTGTGGACGAAGAAGAGCCGGTTGGAGAGACCAGGCGAAAAGCGACGACGATCCATGCGTTTGCCCGGCATTTGTTCGGAGCGCGAGACCGTAAATTTCGAGCGATTGCTGGGTACGCGTCGAATTCACAAAACTGGTTCGCGTAACAACACCCTGCCGTCGATCCTTCATCCTCCTCTTCCACTTCGTTCTTTACCCACGCCGAGAGTATTTTCCTCGCGCTCGTTCGTCCGTCGTTTAGAGAAACGCGCCGGGATAAAAGCAGATTGCTGCTACCGGTGACGGGCCTGTTAAGTTTCGCAACGCGCTCCACTCGTCCGGCGACTTAATGACTTATCAGACGGGAAAATAGCGTGAAAGTGGATTATTCAAATTCTTCCGAGCATATTAGTATGCATGGAAAATTATCAGCAGGAGTTCGCGTCCGCAACGTCGAGGGGTTTGATCACGGCGTGAAGCGTGCTGCTTCTTCCACGGTAGTTCTTCGGCCTGGCGCGCGCTCAGGTGAGAATGCGGATGATTGTTTAGGGGAGTAGTGTTTTGTGCGGTGGTTGGAGGCGAGGATTGTATGCTCTTGCGAGGGATATTTGTCGATTGTCTTCCGCGGAAATTTGTGGAATTTTGTTGGTCGTGAAGCTGGTGAGGGAGAAATATCGTGGGGAATATTTCTTTCTCTTATTATTATTACCAATCTGCTTGGATTGGGAAAGGTGCGTGGGAAGGTTGCCGGATTCAGATCATCGTCTAGGTTGGACACTACTGTGACTTTTCAGGTGTAAGCAATTTATGCCGTCTATTAGATAATATGTGTATGATAGTAGAGATTATATTAACTAACTATTATACACTTATAAGCAACACATATTGTCTATCATATGGCGCACATTGCTTGCACATGACAGGTTGCAGTAGTGGTATAACCAACGCGATGGTCCAAATTCTACAACCGTCCCCTATACAGGGTGAACCATGAATCGTGATCAGTAGAGATTACTCTGTTATTAGCAGTCCGATCGAAAATGTTGTTATCAGGTATAGTATGATTTCAAGAGAGCTTTAACGTGGTTATAGCAAATTCTGTGTCAACTCCTTTTTTAATGATTTCTTAAGGTCACCTTCGATTTTTTGCAAATACATCTATCATTTTTTTACGCCTATCTGTTAGAGGATTTCAAGACTAATTCGAACAGCATCATAACGTAACATGTGTTAGGCGTAAAAAAATTATAAGCGTATTTGCATAAAATTGAAGGTGACCTTGAAAAATCATAAAAAAAGAGTTGATAAAAAATGTATTATAATCACGTTAAAGCTCTCTTGAAACCATGCTCTACCTGATAAAAATATTTTCGATCGCACTGATAATAACAGAGTAATCTCTACTGAGCACGATTCGTGGTTCACCCTGTAT